AATCGTCGCCTTGCAGCAGGATGTGTGGGTGTGCAGTCATGCAGGGATTCATGCTCAAAGCGCTCTTCACGAACTGCAGCTGCAGGACATTGTTCTTCTCATCACGTGTGGTCATAAATAATTGATAGCCCTCGGTGGACCATTCGAGACGGCGCAGCTGCAGTGGATTCTGCTTAACCAAATCCACGTGCAGTCCAAAATCCCAACTTAGGGTGGACATCAGCAACGCTCCAAAGGTACTCCACAGCGACAGTCCACCATTCTCCCAGCTCACGGCGAGCACACAACCATCGGGACTCCACTTGAGTTCGTTGACAGCACCCAAGCTGCCAGGCGGCACATTCTCCGTCAAGACAAGCCTGTGCGAATATTCCAGGCCTGCTGTGGCGTCGTCTATTGCATACACAGCCACCGCCGAGCTCTGCTGGCCGTAAGCGAGCAGTCGGAACTTGTGATTGACGCTGCAGACGCTCGCATCCATCACATCCGGCACCCAACAGCCGTGCATGTGCACCGTTTCGAAACGCAGATGATCAGCTATGAGGAACGCCGCCCGCTGATCGCTGAAGACAGCAGCGCATCCGCCAATGAAGGGAGAATACTCCAGGCTGGCCACAAAAGCCGAGTTGCCCATGGCGGGCAAATATTTGACGGGCTGCTGTTGCTGTTGCTGCACGTAGAAGGGAATGTCACGCAGTTTGATAACAGCCAGCGGCTTCAGGTCCTCGGAAACCGTTTCGAGCTGTGACCACTGCAATCGCAGCAGTTCACATGTTTCCGTAGCCAGGAGCAGCTCACTGAGGCTGATGCAGCAGACAGTGGAGATGACAACGTCCAGCTTCAAGCAGCGTACTTCGCGGAGACTCAGGCGGGGTATATTCTCCTTGATGAACAGCTCGGCTGAATCTCTTTTCAGACTCACTGCAGGCGGGTCCACCTGCATCAATATTCCACTGCCATTGGCATCGAAGTCCAGTTGATACAACAACAAGGCACCAGCATCCGTTAGCACGGCCAGCTGCCTGGAGTCGGGCTTCCAAATAATCAATTGATTGTTGCCAAACTCCTGCAGAGATTCCACGGTGCGCCGATAATAGGCAATGGGCAGAAGCGGGTTCGCATACCAAATGCCCAGAAAATCCGAGCCGACGGCCGCGACGAGTATTTTAACACCATCACAACTAATGTGATTTATGTGAGTGGTTTCGCCAGGGAGCGCCAGGCAGACGCGCTTTGGCCAGCCCAATGGAAAGTACATTCTCTCTCCAGCGAGCAAATTGCTGAAAAGGCATTTTCTAGCACAATTATCAATCGATTTGAGGTTATTGAGCACTTACACTTTAGGTAATAATAAGTTACACGCCAAAATTTACATCTCTAATGACTAATTAGCACTTTAACAAAACACTTGCCATAATTTAATAAAAAAAAATCACTACAATTTACGCGTATACAAATATAAGTGATGCATAACGACATCAGTTCAACAGCTGTGATTTAACTCGCTTTGCAACACTCCGAATTTTTCTTTGTGAACATCTGGAAGGCTGGCAGCTATTAAGGCTAGTATGCTGCATCTCCAAATGCAAATATACTAGATTTTTCTGGAGCAAAATCCTATTAGCAAACTAGAAAAAAATACATATGTATATATGTGTTTTAAATTAATCAAACTACCGATACTTGCAAAGTATTTGCTGCTATTATTTCACTTTGCTTGAAGACAAATAGCGATTAGAGCTTGCCTTGCTATTGTTGTCAAGCATTAGCGTATCCTGCTCCAATGAGTACATGGTGAACAACAATTGAGTACTTGAGGCAAATATTGCAGCCGGTGTATGAAGTGCAGACGGAATTGAATAAAAATAACCTATTTCTAAGTGAATAAAAGCAATGACGGCATTTGAAGGTAAAACATCTATAAAATGTACTTAATACGTACTCAAATATCCAAATAAATTCCCTTGCAGAGTTTGGTGTGCTGCCAGAGCTCGGCAAGGCAACCGACGAATTGGACTGGACGTAAGTATAAATAATATAAATTTAAATTTAATTTTCCTGCAAGTGCTCCTTTATCAGCTTGCCCACGGATGTGCAGGCAGAGGCCATACCACTCATACTTGGCGGAGGCGATGTCCTAATGGCAGCTGAAACGGGTTCTGGCAAAACGGGCGCCTTTTGTTTGCCCATTCTGCAAATTGTTTGGGAAACGATTCGCGATTTGCAGTCGGGAAAGCCAAGTAAAAAAGGCGGTTCCGCAGCTGGAGCTGTGGCACCGTGGACAATGTCGTTTTTCGATCGTAACAATGCATTAGCCGTGACTCCGGATGGCTTGCGCTGCCAGTCACGTGAGTTTAAGGAATGGCACGGATGTCGTGCCACCACCGGGGTCTATGGTAAAGCCAAGTTCTATTACGAAGCAACAGTCACCGATGAGGGCTTGTGCCGTGTGGGGTGGTCCACTCAAATGGCGAATTTAGATCTGGGCACGTGTCGCTACGGCTTTGGCTTTGGCGGCACGGGCAAAAAGTCCAACAATCGTCAGTTTGACGACTATGGCGAGGCTTTCGGCAAGGCAGATGTAGTGGGCTGTATGCTGGACCTGCAGCGACTGGAAGTGAGCTTCACCAAGAACGGCGCTGCATTGGGAGTGGCTTTCAAAATACCCGAAAATCTACGCAATGACACCTTCTATCCAGCTGTTGTCCTGAAGAATGCCGAAATGCTATTTAACTTTGGCAAAACCGATTTTAAGTACCCACCAGGCAACGGCTATGTGGCTGTTTGTCAAGCAGGTCCTGACCATAGCGCACCCAATCCTTTGGCCAGCCCCGCAGCCAACACTGCGGCCAGCAAACCGGCGCCCAACGCGCCCCAAGCCATAATCATTGAGCCGAGCCGCGAGCTAGCGGAGCAAACTTACAATCAAATTGAAAAACTGAAACGTTATGTGACCGATCCCGACGTGCGTCCCCTGCTGCTTATTGGAGGCGTGCGTCTGGAGGAGCAGAAAGCGGAATTGCAGAAGGGAATTCACATTGTGGTGGGCACTCCCGGCCGGCTGGAGGAGCTCATCAACAGTGGACTCGTACAGCTCACTCACTGTCGTTTCTTTGTCCTGGACGAGGCGGATGCTCTGCTTAAGCAGGGCTATACGGATCTAATTGATCGGCTGCACAAGCAAATACCAAAAATAACCAGCGATGGCTGTCGCCTGCAGATGATTGTCTGCTCCGCCACCTTGCATGCCTTTGAGGTAAAAAAGATGGCTGAGCGCTTGATGCACTTTCCCACCTGGGTGGATCTGAAGGGCGAAGATGCAGTGCCGGAGACTGTTCACCATGTAGTGTGCATGGTCGACCCGAAGATTGACACCAGCTGGCAGCAACTTCGCCAGTCGATACGCACTGATGGTGTGCACGATCACGACAATATCCATCCCACTAATCTTTCCCCAGAGACCCTGTCCCAGGCAGTGAAGCTGCTGAAGGGTGAATATTGCATCCGGGCCATTGACCAGCACAAAATGGATCGTGCCATCATCTTCTGTCGCACCAAGCAGGATTGCGATAACTTGGAGCAGTATCTGCGCCTCCGCGGCGGACAACGCTACTCCTGCGTCTGCCTGCATGGCGATCGCAAGCCGCATGAGCGCAAACAGAATCTGGAATCGTTCAAGCGCCAGCAGGTCAAGTTTCTCATTTGCACAGACGTTGCTGCACGTGGACTGGACATCACAGGATTGCCTTTCAGTAAGGATTACCTAATAAATATTTCCATATAATCTATAGCTTATCATTCATACAGTGATCAATATAACTCTGCCGGATGACAAATGCAACTATGTGCACCGCATCGGCCGTGTGGGTCGTGCAGAGCGCATGGGCCTGGCCATCAGTTTGGTGTCTACGGTGCCGGAGAAGGTCTGGTACCACGGCGAATGGTGCAAGACTCGTGGACGTAACTGCAACAACACCAATTTGACTGATGTGCGCGGGTGTTGCATCTGGTACAATGAGCTCAATTTATTGGGCGAGGTCGAGGAGCACCTGAACATAACCATACAGCAGGTGGACAAGTCCCTGGAGGTGCCCGTTAACGATTTCGATGGCAAGGTGGTCTACGGCCAAAAGAATCTCAATAAGGGCACTGGATATGTGGATCATGTTGAGCAATTGGTGCCAACGGTTCGCAAATTGACTGATTTGGAATTGCAATCACAATCTTTATTCTTGAAGCGCTTAAAGGTCTAAAGTGGTTCGATTTTGGGTTGTCGCACGATCCGAAATACTTGCACGGTTACGAGTACATAAAATACATAAATAAACTAACATTAAAATCTTGTGTTTAATGAGTACAGCCTCAGTATAAAGTTGTCGTATCGAAGAGGCCAAGTTGGTTACTCGTCTTCATCCTCCTCCTCGTCCTCTTCGTGGAATTCAGTGCGCATTTGCTGCAGTTGTCGCAGCTGCTGGCAGAGCTTGTTGCCAAACGACTCCACATAACGTGGACTAATCTTATCCAGCAGCGCGTAGGGCGTTTCAAAGATCTCTTCCTCCTCTGGCTCCCCATCGGGACCTAGCGCCGGCTCCTCATCGATGGTGTCGTATTGCGAGGAGACTATTTTGAAACCTCGACCAGTCACTTGTACGCAGCAGGTGGCGCTCTCTATGGTGCGAATGTTCAGATAAATCTTCGTGGCACTGCTGACCAATTTGGAAGATATTACAATTTCGGCAACGTGTGCTTTAACATCGTTTATGATGGCATTAGCCTCATCAATGCAGTTGAACACTTCATCCCCAACTTCCTGCATTTTGGTAACGTTTTTAATTGAACTCTTCACTTTTTCCTAATTTTACAAAAGCAACATGTTTTTTTTTTTCGGCTGTCTGACTTAGAACAGCTGTATACAGAACATACAGTATCGACTACCAGACCACAAGTATATATCGATACCTTTTGAGCATGAAGTCATTAACCATTCGATAACTTTGGTTTTTCTTAAGCAATATTAGCAATTGTATAGTTAGTGACAATATTACGTTTTCTTAATTCACCGGCAATGTATACTCAACATAGTTTGCTTTTTAAGACATCGATACCAAGTGCATAACTTTGTTTTTCATCGATTAACTCAAACACTTATCGATCTGTACCTGAATGCCATCGGCATGGCTCAAACTCAAATTGAGACAGCTATAAAACTGCTGCTTCAGGAAGCCCAAGAGCTATGCATTGGTGGACAAATAACGGAACTACAACAGCTGCCAACTGCCTTAGAGTTCACGCGGGACTACTATGCAAAGAACGCACCTGTTGTCGTACGTCAGGCGGTTGCCCATTGGCCTGCAGTGCAGAAGTGGACGCCGGATTATTTGCAGACTACTCTGAATGACAAAGTTGTGGATGTAGCTGTTACACCCAATGGCTATGCTGATGGTCTGGCCACACAAGATGGCGAAGAGTACTTCGTGCTACCGCTAGAAACGCAAATGCCTCTATCTGAGTTATTGGAACGTCTCGATGATCCAATGGGAGCTGTGCACTACATTCAGAAGCAAAATTCCAATTTCAGTCTTGACTTTCCGGAGCTGGCTGGTGACATTATGCCGAGTGACTTGGATTTTGCCCAGCAGTGCTTCAACAAGGAACCGGATGCAGTCAACTTCTGGTTGGGCGACGAGCGGGCCATCACCTCCATGCACAAGGATCCCTACGAGAATCTTTATTGCGTAATTTCCGGGTACAAAGATTTCATATTGCTGCCTCCGCATCAGCTTTGCTGCGTGCCTCGTGGCAACTACCCCACTGGCGTGTACAAGCGAAAATCCTGTGGGCAGTTCGACATAGATCCTTTGATTGAGAACGACGAAGTTCTGCATACAGAATGGGTTAGCATTGATCCATTAGCTCCGGACTTGGCCAAATATCCCCAGTATAGCAAGGCGCGTCCCTTACGAGTACGTGTTCATGCGGGAGATGTGCTCTATTTACCCAACTACTGGTTCCATCATGTGCGCCAGAGTCACAAATGCATCGCCATCAACTTTTGGTACGACATGGACTACGACAGTCGCTATTGCTACTATCGCATGATGGAGCAGCTCACCAGCCAAACAGATCTAAACAAATAGCTAAGTACCGGAGCTCATTCCAAACCAATTGTTTGTTACATTTGTAAGCCAATTAATAAATGAAAGAAACCCCAAAGGCTGGTCCACAAATTCGATGGGATTCCATTCACTCCAGAAGCCGCAGCTAATTAAAGGGTTGAGCTCCCAACAAATTTGTTTGTGTTTTAGGTGTACATTTATAATTTAATACAAAATAAAAACAAAGTCGAAAATGGGCCGCCCATTGCGGCTAGTAACTAATTTTGTTAGTTCATATGGGTGATGTCATATGGAATATGGAATATGTATATGAGTATATAATTGCATATATGTATGCATATGTATGCGGATAGGTTGGGAATGTTGACTGGGTGGGTCCCCTCTAGTGATCTAATAGCTAACTAACTTTACTCGATTTAATCTAAACTGATATTCTGAGTTTCTTGAGCTGCCGCTGCGCTGGCCTCCTCCTCCGGATTCTCATTGTTCTCACACTCTGTATCGCCCCCGTTTAGCGTAACCTTTTTCTGGTCTGCCTCGGCCAGGTCGGCATCATTGTTGGAATCCTGCGAGTTCGACTGAGCACGCACGCGTTTATTGACCTGCTTTTTGGAAGGAGCCTTTGGCTCCTTACTTTTCGTACTGGACATGCTGCCGGTGTCGGCTGACTGCTGCTCTACCACAAAAAGCTGCTCCAGATAGGTGCGATACCAAAGCAAGAACTCGTCGCGCTGCCTTGGCATGTCCAACTTCTTAATCTTAGCATAAAAGCGCTTGGGCGAAATGAGCGGCGAGACAGCATTTGGTGTCCAGCTGGCGGCCGAGTTTTGGGCCGCATTTGCCGTCAGCTTGGAGACCTCAGCCAGCAGTGAATCGTTGATGATTGTGTTGTTATGCGTCTGGTTACGTATGCGTTTGATTATGTACTCAATAAGCTCGTGATCCGGCGATATGTCAAGACTAGCCGATGGAGGCGTGGCGGGTCGTTCAATGACCACCTCAATGATTTGCTTTAATGAAAAAGGCACGAGCTATGAGCAGCTGAGGCAGTGCATGAGCTTTGGCTACTTACATCATCGTTGTCCAACGGTGCAGGACCAACGCCAGCTGCCTCTGAGTATTCAGTTCCTGAAGCGCCTTCTATTGCTGCTGCTGCTGCTGCTGCTGCTGCTGCTGCTGCTGCTGCTGCTGCTGCTCCAGATGCAGATCCAGTTGCTGCCGCAGCTGCAGCAGCTGTTGACATTACCTGCAATGGTAGACTATTGTCATCCTCTGGCCGGTCGCTGATAGATTGAGCCTGCGGCGATTCAGTGCCACTCTCCGTGGCCTCTGTTGACTCATTTGAAACGGCATTCTCTGCCGGCGGGGCACTGGGCGCCTGACCCTGGTTGAGGGTCTTGCGCAGGCTATGCACTTCATTATACAGTTGCTGTTCGCCTAGCTGCTGCTGCAACTGTTGCTGCTGTTGTTGCTGCTGCTCGAAGAGAGTTTCTAGTCGTCTGTAGACATCCTCCTTGATCGACTCGTAGAACTTTGTGGTAAATTTGTCATTTTTCAATGCATTCACTAGCAAATTGCGATTCAGTTCCTCTGAAGCCGTCTCCTCTGTGCCTTGTTCCAGCATCGCATTCGATTCATCTGGCGGCACGACGGACTCCTGTGCTGTGACATTGTACACGGGAGCAGCTGGCGGAGCTTGCATCGCCGGCGGCTCTGGTAGCTCATAGTCCATGTATTGAGCAGGCAGCTCGAAATCGAAGCGCAGATGGCGCTGCTGCAACGGGGTTAGAGACACCGCCGACGTGGTCGGCTTAGCCGGCACCTTGTTGCGCTGGTACAGCGGACTGTTCACATTCATGTTGAAGAAATTGGAGGAGCCAGCCGTTAGCTCCTGCAAGGAAGTCTCCTCGTCGCGCAGCGTTGGCATTGGACGCCGGCGATTGCGACGTCTGCCTCCGCTGCTGCCGAATATTGAGGAATCATTATTATCATCCTCCTCCACATCATCCTCTTCTCCATGAGCATTATTGCGCCAGTCTTGATTGCTGCTGCTACTGTTGTTCAAATTGTTGCTGCTGCTGCCGTTGAGCAAATGTTGTTGCTGCTGTGGCTGCGGCTGTGTCTGCGGCTGCTGTTGTGGCTGCTGAGGCGTGGCCTCATAAAAGTGACGATGTGACTGAGCCTGTTGCTGTTGTTGTTGCTGCTGCTGCTGTAGCATCATGCTGCTGGTGGAGCTGCGTGCAGTGTGCGGCAGATGGGTCTGAAAATAGCTGGGACGCTGGCGCTGGCGCTGTATTTGGCGATATTGGTGCTCCACATTGAGTTCCTCGTTGCTTTTGTTAGATAGCAGATTCTGGCGAGTATAGCTGCAAAGCGCACAGATATTAATGGGTTAATAAAAGCGAGCAATCAAACAAAAAGTATTTAATGTGCAAAGTAGAATAACATTCTAAAAATTAGTATTAATAAAACCAAGTCTATTCCAATTAGAGCTACTCTAGATGTAATTCTGAACAACTTTTGGGTTATAGCATTGCTTTTACTCGATCAATTTAATAGGCAGTGAGGATTAAAAAAGAATTTAGTTATTCAAAAAAAAAAAAAAAAATGAATACTCAAGTTAATAGAATTAGTTGAACTCAATTGAAACGCATTTCAAGTATAATCGATTAGAATCTCGTAAATGTTTTCTTCTCTCTACTTACTTATGTCGTAGTGTTTTGAGAAATTTGATTAAAAATAAAAATAAATCAAAATTATTCATATCTTTTTTGTCGTGGCACTTCGTTCTATGTATTTGTTTTTATTACTTTGGCAAGGATTATAACTTAACAGCTCTTTGGTTCCTAGTTCTCAATCGATAGAAGTAAATAAACAATTGCCTAATCCGTACGAAAGAACGCGACACCACATGAAATATGTGTATTGTATGGCGCTTTACCTTCGGAAGTTGTCCCAATAGTTGTTCGCCCGGTTGCCCGGTGGCACCTGGTTGTTCAGAGTGGGTGGCGGCACCGCATCCTCCGGCAGCGAATGCAAATTGTTCGCATGCTGGTTCTGGGTGCGCAAGTTGGCATTATTCTGGTGTATGGTATTGTTGTGATGATTCATGAATATGGGTGCCGGAGCGGCGCGATACGAGAGCGGCGACAGCGGCGTCTCATTGTTGTAGTGCGTTGGTGGCGGCGGCGGTGGTGGCGGTGGCGCCGCATTGTTCAAATAGGTCTGTGCCTGATGCGGATCGCTGCCGCTGTAGATATTGTTGCGATGACTGCTGCGCTGATAGTTGCTAAAGGCGCTCTGATGCGAGGAGCCGAAATTATACAGTTGCTCCGACTGGGCGCGAGCGCTGGCGCCCAGGCACAGGTTGTTCGGTGCCAGACCGCCAGCGATAGGCGGAACGGACTCCGAGCGCAGACTATAGGCGTGCTCCTGGCACGATGCGTTCAAACGTTCCTGCAACTATTCAAATGAAAAGAGAAATCACGTTTAAAACACAATCAAAACCAATGGTATGTTATACAAAAGGTCATTAAAATCTCTGCACAATCTGGCTATTACTGGTTGCATTAGTTAGCTTTACTCTCACCGAATGTATCTGACTGTTGAGACTGTCAATTTCACGCTGCTGATGCCACAAAGTCTGATTGCACTGGCAGACCGAGTTGATGAGCATCTGCTGCGTCTGCATGAACTGCTGCAAGAGCACTGCGTCGGGCGTTTGGTTGACACTCGAAGCCTGCGAGGAGGCAGCGACCCCCGGTGCAACTGGAGCACCTGTTGGCGTTGCTGGCAGATAGCCAGGCTGCGAATGCCAAGTGTTGGTCGTATTGTGCGTGTCTGCAAATAAATGAGTGGCTCAATAGAAGTGACTAGTGAATAATTGCTGGCGGATTGCTTACTCCACATGCCTTGAACGGGTGCCATTGGCGGCGGCATATACTGGGATCTAGTGCTGCTCGACGGTATGCTATCATTGCCCAGGGAGAGGCTGTCAATCGTCAGATTCAGATCGTCTTCATTGTTTGACATGGAGTGAGCATTGGGCGTAGTTTGTTGTTGCTTGAGTTGTGTTCGTCGCTGTTGTTCATGTTGTTGTTGCTGCTGCTGTTGTAGTTGTTGTTGCTGCTGTTGTTGTTGCAGCTGTTGCTGTTGCTGTTGCATCTGCTGCAGTTGCTGCTGTTGCTGTTTCTCCACAACGGTTATGGTCGAGGCAGTTCGTTTTAATGTAGCCGAAGACGAAGCGCGCAGTTGGGTAAAATATCTATCGCTGTCGGTGTCATCATTGCCCTCATCATCAGCCTCCGAAGTGGTGTTGGTGTTGTTGTTGTTGCTGCCGCCATTGTGACAGTTGCTGCCATGGCTGTTCATAAAATGGGCTTCATACTCGCGTTGCTTTTTCTCATATTCCTGTCGCAATTTCTCGCATTGTGCCCGCAACTCATTGCGCGTTTGTAACTGGATTCGCCTTTTTGTTTCATCCTCCTTCTGCTCCTCCTCCTCATCCTCCTCCTGCTCATCTTCTTGAGGACGCTGTCGAAGGGGCGTTGGAGTCAGGCTGTGACGCTGCAGCGCCTCGTCCCCCATCTGTACCGCAGCTGCTGCCTGCCTCTGGCGGCGCTCAATTTCAGCCTTTAGTGCCGAAATGCGATCACGCTCCTGCTGCAATGTGGCTGCCTCAGCGCGCAACTCGGAGCTAACGCCGTCTAATGCCTGCACACGCTGCGTAATGTCCCGAGGTCGTTCTTCGTGTCGCTCAACGCTGCGACGCTCCAAGGTCTCACCGATGTCGGATGTGCCAGCTTCTATCTGAGTAACGGTATTCAGCATGCTCTTCAGCCTGTTCATTTGTGCCTTCAGCGCCTCAATGTCCGCCGTCTTCTGATCAATCATATTCTGAGCGTGTTGAGCACGCTGAGCGGCATTGACTGCCTCCTGTCGCAAAATGGGAACATTGCGTTGATATTCCACAGGGACAATGCGCTCATTGGTGGGCTTAGCCTGCTGCTGCTCTTGCTCCTTCTGCTTCTGCTGCTTTGGTGGTGTCTGCTCTCTTGGAGTGCTCGTCTCCTGGCTGGAAGCACGAACGGCCTGCACCCGCTCTTTGGCCTTTCGATTGATGCTGGTTAGCTCATTGACCAATTCACGCATATCCTCTCGCTGCGCCCGCAATGATTCAAGTTTCTCCTGCAGCGCCTGCTGCTCGGCCAAAATCTCTGGACCATCGTCGCCCAGCACGCTGCTTAGCTCGTTTTGATTGT